TCCTCCAAACTCTGTTCCTACAGCGAAATGCTTCATTTTATTAGTCCCAAGCCAATTCAAGGCTTAGTAAGGTTCAACTCTTTTTTGGACTCGCTTAAATGTTTGTGGATTAGTTTTACTTTGTTTTAATAGCTTACCAGAATAGCTTGCTGAGTTAGGAACTATTGTTTAAGAGAGTAGTTTCTTGAAAAACTGATTCAGTCTCCAGCGATAGTAGTACCTTGGGCATGATGGAACATCACAACGGTACGTTCATACTTTGCGGCAGCGTTTTCAGCAATAATCGATATCTATACATGCTTATTTCAAAGCGCACAAAACTCTGGATCGATATGTAAACTTTCTTAGTCGCTCAAAATGCCCCACAGAGTATGAATGATTCTTACCCATCGGACTGTTCATACCTTGCGCCGCTGGTAAATCCTTTAGAAGTAATGAGTACCTACCGACGCGAATATAGTGTAGTTCGCTGCGGACGGTTGGGCGTGTCAGTGCGGCTGCGTTTGGCGCGGTGCCAAACTCGTTCTCCACCAGTTGTTGAAGCGGGCAAGTGACAATACTGTATCATATCGTATTACTCGTTTTCTACCACTTTTTGTCGCATGCGCGTTTCAACAAGAAGGCAGAGAACGGCCTTGACGCTGTGCACACTCATATTGGCTGACCCGCCCAACCTTCCGCAGCGAACTAGGGTGTAGATGGAGGATCGCAGGTTTCATAGATTAGAATGAACCGATTGGATACGTATCGATCACGGCTTCCATGTGGTGATCACTCGATATGTATCCAATGCTTTCCGCATATTATCCGATTCTACAGTGGACAAGATGAGGAAGCGGCCTAACACTTACTCACTAGAATGTTATGCGTACTTGCTCTTCTATTTCATGGGCTCTTAGTCGCTTCTTTCGCTGAAGCTATTGCGCCGCCATTCACATTCCTGAACGGTTATTCATTGAATTTAAGATGAATTTTCCATTTCAGAACAATGACGACGGCCCATAGACCAACATTTCACCCTGCCCGAGGAGGCACTGGGCGAACCGAGGGAGACTTATCGAAACTGTCGCAGCAATATTCGTCTAAAGATATGCCATCACACACCAAATTGAAGTACAGACAACAGGGTCAGGGTACTGAAGAGGAGTTGAGGAGACGGGTGAGAGCACTCAGTAGCTACTCGTAACACAACGGGTACGCGCTAAATGCTGTTATTTCAGGATCTGCGACGTGAATTGGAGGACAAGGAGAAGGTAGCCTCTCGGGAAAGGCGCAATCGTGAAGCAGCCGCTTCTAGTTCGAGTAACAAGAGGGCGAGGATCGAAGAGTCTTCACATGCAGCTGTAGATGCGGATGAGCCGCTAGATGAAGTGGGTGTTTTTTTGACTTTCCTGAACTTTCGTTGTTAATTTCGTCCCTTTGAATTGCATAGGGGACCGGACAGGCTTGTATGTCACTTCATAAGTTTTCCTAGAAGCGCAATGGAGGAAATAATCCTGGCCGGAGGCCATTAAAGGAGGGTTGTGTCTCCAACGCAATGCCGCGGGATCACGTCAATCTAACAGAAGTACCGCGGCACGGTAGTTACTGTATAGCAAAGATATCTTTAGTGTATTTCGTATACAAAGAACAAATCTCAACTACATATAGCTCGAGGGGAACCAGCTTATACGTATGCAGAACACTTATACTATCAGAAGTACCGTCCATTGAATCGGTTCACCAACTCCTTAGATCCACCCCTCCTTAGCCTTGCCCAAAAGTCCTTATCCTCTTTGGGGATCAGAGTTTCACCCAAGGATGCTTTAGAATCTCCCTCACAAGTATTAACGCTTTTTCTCACATCAAAGTATGAGAGTGTATGAATTGCAGCATGACTCATCTGATGATGATTCCGATGAAGACGACACGGCTGCTCTTATGGCGGAACTAGAAAGAATAAAGAAGGAGCGCGCAGAAGAAAAGGCCGCAAAAGAAGAAGAGGAAAAGAGGCGAGAGGTACGTGCTACTAGCATAGACCCTTTTTCGTCTGCTAGACCTTTTTTCGTCTGCACCTCCACGCGTTCACTAGAAATAGTAGCCAACAACTCCCACGACAAATTGTTTCGCTAGTATTTCTGGTGTATGGGTGGAAGTGCCAAAGAAGAGATCTCTCTGGTTTCGTACTCGGCTTTTCTACTTCTTGTTTTCAAAGTTTATATAGCCACGTTCTTCTAGGAAAAAATTCGAATGGACAACATTCTTGCGGGCAACCCGCTTGTTGAACCCAGTTGACTCTGCATCATCTTCCAATGGCGGAGATTTCAAAGTCAAGCGAAGATGGGACGACGACGTTGTATTCAAAAACTGTGCCAAAGGTCGGTGGTTCATTGACTTTGTTCTATCTTGGTTGATGTTTTGTTTTTTACCAGTCGGATCGCCCGGCTGACGCCGAGCTCTCCTCCTTCTTTTCAGCTCGGCTTCGCCGAGCTGGCCTGGCTTCGCCAGGCGCACATCATAACGGAATGGAATTTGTTAATTGCCTGAGCTGCTCATATTGCGCGGTAGTGGTCGAATCATAATAGACAGAGCAACCTAGCGAATTCTGCACTCCTCACTCCTCTGATACCCTGATATTTGCAGAAGGCGTGCTGGTTTCGGCCATAACGCCCATTCTATACGTAGATCATGGAAGATATAGGAAGTACAGTCGGCCATGAGCGCAATATCAATATGATGAATATGAAATTCCGTTTT